ACCCCAAGTGGCTCAGCTTCTGCGCGGCCTGCGGGTGAGCGGGGTCACCGGGGGGGGGGCTGGGGACGCCGTGCCCCCCCGGCCGCCCCTCTGAGCCGTGTCCCCCCGCAGCAATGACATCGCCCTGATGAAGCTGCAGCGCCCGGCCGTGCTCTCGGAGCAGGTGCAGGTGGGGCGGCTGCCGCCCGCCGGCTCCGTGCTGCCCAACGGGTACCCCTGCGTGCTCAGCGGCTGGGGACTGCTCACCAGTGCGTACGGACAGACAGACAGACAGCCGGCAGGGATGGGAGATGGAGGGAGGAGGGGTGGACAGAGGGATGGTGAAGGGTTGGAGGGATAGATGGGGAAATGGTTGGGAAGAAGGAGGGAGGGATGGGGGATGGACAAATGGGGAATGGCTGGGGAGATGGAGGGATGAGGGATGGATGAGAATTGCTTGGATGGATGGATGGATGGATGGATGGATGTTGGACGGATGTTGGATGGATGGATGTTCAATGGATGGATGATGGATGGAATCCATGGATGGATGGATGGATGGATGGTGGATGGATGTTGGATGGTGGACGGATGTTGGATGGTGGACGATGGATGGATGTTCAATGGATGGATGTTCAATGGATGGATGGATGGATGGATGGAATCCATGGATGGATGGATGGATGTTGGACGGATGGTGGACGATGGATGGATGTTCAATGGATGGATGGATGGATGGTGAATGATGGATGGATGGATGTTGGACGGATGTTGGATGGATGGATGTTCAATGGATGGATGGATGGAATCCATGGATGGATGGATGGATGGAATCCATGGATGGATGGATGGATGGATGGATGGATGGATGGATGGATGGATGGAATCCATGGATGGATGGATGGATGGATGGATGGATGTTGGATGGATGGATGGATGGATGGATGGATGGATGGATGGATGGATGGATGTTGGATGGATGGATGGATGGATGGATGGTTGGATGGATGGATGGATGTTGGATGGATGGATGTTCAATGGATGGATGGATGGATGGAATCCATGGATGGATGGATGGATGGATGGACGGACGGATCGATGGAATCCATGGATGGATGGATGGATGTTGGACGGATGGATGTTCAATGGATGGATGGATGGATGGATGGATGGATGGAATCCATGGATGGATGGATGGATGGATGGATGGATGGAATCCATGGATGGATGGATGGATGTTGGATGGATGTTGGATGTTGGATGTTCAATGGATGGATGGAGGGCCATGTTCACAGCCCAGGTGCTCTGATCCCACAGCTGGGGGATCTCTGCCGGACCGGCTGCAGCAGGCAGAGCTGCCCGTGGTGGACTATGAGCACTGCACCCAGCCCGACTGGTGGGGAGCCCTGGCCATCCGCAAAACCATGATCTGTGCCGGCGGCGCCGAGAAGTCCGGATGCAACGTGGGTACCGCTCCAGGGGGAGGGGGCACACCCCGGGCCCCCTGTGGTGCTGACCCTGCCTCACCCCACCCTCAGGGCGACTCCGGGGGACCCCTGAACTGCCAGGCTGAGGATGGCACCTGGGAGGTGCACGGCATCGCCAGTTTCGTGTCAGCCCTGGGCTGCAACGCTGCCAAGAAACCCACGGTGTTCACCCGCGTGTCTGCCTTCGAGGACTGGATTGCAGAGGTGGGCACAGGGAATGGCATCCTGGGCTGCCAGGGTGCAAGGGGGCCAGAGAATTGGGATATCATGGTGTCAGGATGCCAGGGAACTTGGGTACTATGGTGCTGGGGAATTGGGATGCCAGTACCAGGGTGCTGGGTTCTGGGGCAGCAGGGAATTGGGGCGCCAGGGCAATGGGGGTACCAGGGCAATGGAGTACCAGGGCTTTGGGGTGCTGGGGCGCCAGGGCACCAGGGGGAAAAGGGGCCAGGCTGCTGGGCTGCCATGGCGCCAGGGTATTGGTGTACCAGATTGTTGGGGTGCTCTGATGCTGGGGTACCAGAGGATGGGACTGTCAGGGTGCCAGGGTGCTGGGGTACCAGGTGTCAGTGCCACAGTGCCAGGGTGCTCTGGGGTGCTGGGATGCTGGAGTGCCAGGGTACCAGGCTGCTGGGTACCAGGCCAGTGGGGTGACAAAGTGCCACGGCATTGGGGTGCTTGGGTGTCATGGAGCTGAGGAAAAAGGGCTCTGAATTGCTGGGAAGCCAGTTTACCATGGCACTGGGTCCCTGGGGTGCCAGGACAAAGGTTTGCCAGAGCTCTGGGGTGCTGGGGTAACAGGGCTCTGGGTTCTGGAGTGCCAGGGAATTGGGGTGTCAGGACAATGGGGTACCAGGGCTCTGGGTTGTGGGGAGCCAGGGAATTGGGGTGTGAGGTGCTGGGCACTGGTGTGCCAGGCTCCTGGGGTGTTGGGATGCCATGGTGCTGAGGTGCTGGGGTTTGAGTCATTAGAGTGTTGGGGTGTCAGGGTGTTGGGGTACTGTCCTCCTGTCTTAGAAACTTCTCCCTTCCAGACCATGAAAAACAACTGAGCATGGCAGCGTCCTTGTCATCGACCCCCCTGCCCTGACACCAGGCAAATAAACCAACTGCTGGCACCAGTGTGTCCTTGTGGTCCTTGTGCTGGGCAGGGGTCTGCGGGCAGCAGGGGCTGCCCCATTACCAGCAGGCAGTACTGGGAGCACCCTGATGTGCCCAATGCCATGGACATGGACACCCAGAGACACCCCAGTGCCACAGGGATGGGCACCCAGAGACACCCCAGTGCCACAGGGATGGGCACCCAGAGATACTCCCCAACAATGGGGGCAGACCCTGAGAGGTGCCCAGCCACCCACAGGTGCCCAGATGCTGTGGAGATGGCACCCTCAGACACCCAGATCCCACAGGGATGGGCACCCAGAGATACTCCCCAACAATGGGGGCAGACCCTGAGAGGTGCCCAGCCACCCACAGGTGCCCAGATGCCATTGGAGATGGCATACTCAGACACCCAGATCCCACAGGGATGGGCACCCAGCAACTCAGACACAATGGGGACAGACCCTGAGAGGTGCCCAGACACTGTGGAGATGGCACCTCAGACACCCAGATCCCACAGGGATGGGTACCCAGGTGCCACAGGGATGGCACTCAGGTGACCCAGCTCCAGCCACCCCAAAGTGCCCTGTGCCATGGGCACCTGCTGCCAAAGGCACCCCAGGACACATTGGCACGGTGGCTCTGGGTGCCCTGAGGACACCGGGATGTCCCCCACGGGGCACCCAGTGCCATCCTGTCCCCCCACAGGGCTGGGCCCCCCCTTGGCAGTGGCACAGCCCCCTCGGGGTGCCCCAGGGCCGGGTGCCCATGGCCGTGGCCCTCCTGGCCCGGCCGTCGCCTCGCAACCGCCGGCACCGGCGCGTGACCGTGAACAAAGAGCCCTTTCATGGCACCCCCGCTGCCACCGGCACCCCGGGACCCCCCAGTGGGGCACCCCAGAGCCATCCCCCCACCCTGGGGCTCTGCAGCACCCCCCGATTCCCGCTGGGATCTGGGTGGAAAATTCCAGCTGCAGGGCTGTATAAGTTTTATGGGCTCCTTGTCACCGTGTCCTCGGGGACCTTTGCTCTCCCGCCGGTGGCCCCGGCGTCGCCCGCCCCGGCAGCCCCTCGCTATCGCCGGCCCTTTGCTCCAGGGCAGGGGGAGGCCCAGCTCCCCCAGCTCGTGACACCCTTGCACAAGTTGGGGTCACCTGGCACAGGCCCAGGGTGGTGGAAAAGGGGACCCAGTGCAAGGGGTGAGGGTGGGGGGCACCAGCTGAACCCGCCCCCCCCCCGTGCCACTGGTGGGAATTGTTGGTGGGATGGCACTGGGTGGTGGCACCTTTTGGGTGCAATCACCCTGTGCTGGCAGTGGGGTGCAGGGACAGGAGCGTGGCAGTGCCAGGGGGCTGGTGTGGGGCTGTGGGACTGGTGTGGGTGTTTGGGACTGGTGTGGGTGTTTGGGACTGGTGTGGGTGTCATGGGACTGGTGTGGGTGTCATGGGACTGGTGTGGGTGTTGTGAGGCTGCCGTGGGTGCTACAAGTGTGGCACAAATTCAGGTGGTGCACACCTGGCAGAGGTCCTGTGAGAGAGGGATGGGTGCTGTGAGCCTGGCATGGGTGCTGTGAGTGTGGGGTGGGTGCTGTGGGCATGGTATGGGCAATACAAAGCATGGTGTGAGTACTGTGAGCCTGGCATGGGTGTTGTGAGCAGGATATGGGTGCTGTGAGCCTGGCATGGGTGTTGTGAGCAGGATATGGGTGCTGTGAGCCTGGCATGGGTGTTGTGAGCAGGATATGGGTGCTGTGAGCCTGGCACGGATGGTGCAATCCTGGGATGGGCCCTGAGAGCCTGGCATGTGCTCCATGAGTGCGGGATGGGTGCTGGAGTGTGGGATGGGTGCTGGGGGTGTGGGATGGGTGCCATGAGCTGGGTGTGGGTGGTGTGAGCCTGCCAAAGGGGCTACAAAGCTGGCAGAGGTGCTGTGAGCATGGCACAGGTGGTCCACACCTGCAGAAGGCGAGGAGTGAGCCTGGAATCGGTGCTGTGACACTGAGCCAGGTGTCACCAGAGTGACAAGGGTGCCGTGAGCCCGTGCAGGTGTTATCAGCGAGACACCCGAGCTGTGAGTGTGATACAGGTGCTATCAGTGCCCCATGGGTGCTGCCAGCCTGGTCCTGCTGTTGTGGGTGCTGCGAGCCTGGCACGGGCGCTGCGAGCCTGGCACGGGCACTGCAGGCTTGGCACAAGCACTGCGAGCCTGGCACCGGTGCTGTGAGCCTGGCGTGGGCACCGGGAGGCTGGCAGGGGCGCCGGGAGGCTGGCAGGGGCACCGCGAGCCTGGCATGGCCCCCCGGCCCCCCGGGGCAGCTCCTCCCTCGCCGGTGGTGCCAAGCGGCTGCGAACCCCCCGTGTCCGTGTCCGTGGCCTCTGGCCGGACCCACCCCCGCCGGGTGACTCAGCCCGAGAGGCTTTTCCTTATATAACGCGGCACCGCGCGGAGCCCCACGGAGCGGCCCCTGCCTCAGTTTCCCCTGGCCGGGGCGTCACTGTCGCTGCTGCCACAGCCGCCGCCGCCATGTGGATGGTGTCACCGCCGGTCGGTAAGTGTCACCTGGATGCCGCTCGGCCCCTTCGCGAGGTGTCCCCCATCCCTAAAAATCATCATTTGGCGGGGGTTAGTAGAGAAATTAGGCTTATCGGGGCAGAAAACCGTAAAATACATGCATTGCCCCCCCAAAATAGGTTAACTTTGCATTTGCTGTGGCTGAACCCCTTTTCCCTGCGCCTTGGGGGCACAACCCCCTCCTAACGCACCTGGGAAGAACCAAAACCACCTTGCTTTCCCCCCCAAAGCGGTGATAAAAGCAGCGGGAGCGGCGCAGGGTTAAGGAATTCCCTCCCATCCCAATCCAGCTTGGATTTTGGGGTGAGAAACGCCAGGACCGGGCGAGCTCGGGGCCCCCGGCTGTGCCCGGCTCTGTGACGCTCGCAGGTGCCTGGAGCCGGTGCTGCGACAGCTCCGGAACATTCCCGGGGCCCCGAGCCTGCCTTGCCGCTGGGAAAGGGACGGCAAATCCCCAAAATTTCACTTCTCCAACATCCCAAACTCACCCCGAATTGAGGGATAAAGGTGGGGAGCAGCACCCGGCACGGCCCCAAAAATCCCCGGTGGCAGCAGAGCGGCCTTGCGGGGCTCAGGGGGGATTTTCCCGGCTCAGCCCGAGCCGGCGGCTCCGGGCGCGGTGTCCAAAGGTCGCTCCCGGCTCGGAGCCGCCGACCCCCGACACCTCCCGGGCTCCTCTCCCGCGGCTCTTCCTGGTTTTTCCCACCTGGGGAGCTGTTCCTGGTGGCATTCCGGCGATGCAGCGGCTCGGGGGGGCTCTGAGGGGGCTCGGGGGGGTTTGTCTTGCTCTGACGTCCTGTTTTCTTTCAGATGAAGGATCTGCCTGGCTTTGGGACACGGCAAAGGCGGGGGGCAAAGGACAGGACCCTTAAATTCTTTCCCTAAAGCTTAGCCCGATAGGTATATAAGATCCATAGAGCTTAAACCGGGGTTGGCTTTTAGTCTAAGCTTGGGTTTGGCTTAATTTTTGTCTTTATTTTATTATATTTTACGGTTCTTTTATTCATTTCTTTGCTTTTTGGCCTCTTTTATTCCATTTTTTTTTTGGCCGCCGGTGGGGAGCTCAGCAGCAGAGCTTGCACAAATCAATCCCCTGCTGCTTCCTAAACAGATTTTGGGGGATTTTGGTTTGAGGAGGGGGAATCCCTGCACCAACCCTGCTATGTTTTTGGGGGGGCTGCAGCCCCTCCGTGGTTGGAACACGCTGGGGGCTTTGTAGGTATTTTCCAGTCCACCAAGAAGCTGGTGCTGAGCGAGCAGGCGGGACGGGGCCGGGCGCTGGAATTCCTCCGGAAAAATGCGGCCAACGGGATCTCCGTGGCCAACCTGCTGGCGGGGCTCTCCTCCATCCTCTGCAGCGTCAACAGGTGGGGAAAACTGGGAAAAACGGGGGGGAAACGGGGCTGGGGAATGGGGGGGTTACCCTGGCTGTGCTCCCCTTGAGGCCAAGCTGGCGGGCAGGCTCCTCTCCTGCCTCTGCAGCTTCAGTAGGTGGGGAAAAAATGGGATAAAAAAAAGAAATGTGGTGAAAAAGAGGCACAGAAATGGGGGTCACCTTGGTTTTTCTGGGAAAAGGGGGAAATGGGAGGGCACAGGTGGTAGAAAAGTGTGGTTTGCCCTGGTTTGCTGGAAAGATGGAAATAGGGTGAAAATCGGGAAGAAAAGTGGGGGCCAGCCTGGTTTTGCTGGAAAAACAGGGGAATGGGGAGAAAAAGGGGGATGCAAAGTGGGGGACACTGGTTTTGCTCTCTCCTCACCTTTAGTCTCAGCAGCATCAATAGATGAGGGGGGGAAATGGAGGAAATGAACTGAAAAGGGGTGAAAAAGAGGGTGGGGAAGTAGGGGTCACCCCAGCTTTTCTGGAAAATGGGGGAAATGTGATGAAAAAGGAGGAAATAGGGTGAAAAAGGTGTAAATGTGGTGAAAAATAGTTGGGAAGTGGGGGTCACCCTGGATCTGCTCCCTCCATAGCCAACCTCAGGATCAAAGTAAATGGGTGAGGGGGGAAAAGGGGGTAAAAAGAAAAGAAAAAGCAGGTTGCAAAGTGGGAATCACCCCGCTTCTGCTGGAAAAAAGGGAAAATAGGGCAAAGATAGGATGGGAAGTGGAGATCACCCCGGTTTTGCTCTCTCTGCGGCCAACCTGGTGGCTGGGCTTACCTCCACCCTCAACAGATGGGGTAAACAAGGGGGAAATGGGGTGAAAAAGAGGGGGGCAGGGGCTGAGAAGTGGGGTGTCCCCCCCAGGCAATACCAGTACTCCTGCTGGCTGCTGCTCCTGGGCTTCCTGCTGGATCTGGCTGATGGGGCCGTGGCCCGGCAGCTCGATGCCTGCTCGGCACTGGGTGAGTGCATCCCCCCGGGCCAGGGCTGACCCCAGGGGCGTCCCCTGTGCCCGGTGCCCACCTGGCACCTGCCCCTCGCTGCCCCCACAGGTGCCAAGCTGGATGACTTTGCTGATTTCACCACGTTCGGGCTGGGCACGGCGCTGCTGCTGCAGCCCCAGGGCGTGCTGGGGGGGCTGCTGAGCCTGGCCTATGTGCTGGCTGTCTTTGCCCGCCTCTGCTTCTTCTCCAGCGGTGAGTGAGCCCCTGGGGGAGTGGGGGGCTTGGGGTTTTAGCCCCCACATTGTGTTCTGGTTTCTCTGAGTGCCACTGAGGGGACCCCGGCCAGCCCCAGGGGTGCAGAGGGCAGCCAGGCTGATCCCCATCCCCAGGGGTACAGAAGGACAGAAGGCAGCCAGGCTGATCCCTGAGGGTACCAAAGGCAGCCAGGCTGAACCCTGAGGGTACCAAAGGCAGCCAGGCTGATCCCTGAGGGTACCAAAGGCAGCCAGGCTGATCCCTGAGGGTACCAAAGGCAGCCAGGCTGATCCCCTGCAGCAGAGGAGATGCTGGAACATGAAGATGAAGGGGTGGACTTTTAGCAGGGGTTAATCCAAGGGAGCCCCTACAACCTCAGGGGCATCCTGCTGAGAGCCACGGGAGAGGTGCCAAGGGTACATTTAAAGGGAGGTGGAAAGCTAAATAGATAACATTTTACTAACCAATAAGAAAAATTAAGGTATGGACACTGAGAAATGGACATTTAGGACAGTATATGGAGAAACACTTGGGGGGCTGAGCCCTGGCCTCTGGATAATCACTTGACATCCTGACTGAGAGTTCTAGATGGAGGGGATGGGATGCTGAGTGATTGACAGAGAGCCAGGGTGGGGATTTGGGGATGATCTCAGCAAAGGAAAGGGATTACACAGGTAAAAGGAGGGGGTACAGTCTGGGGTAAACCGTTTGGGAAAAAATACGGGGGTACAAAACCAAAACTATTACAGAGTATTACAAAGTATAAAAACACACTACAACAACAACAACAACAACATGGAACTGCTGACACCCCACAGGGATCCCCTTCACCTACCGAGGGCTGCCCTGCCCCTACGCCTCGGCGCTGCTGGCCAGCACCTTCCTGCTCAGCGGGGGCCACGTGGCCCTGCTGCGCGTGGCCGCGGCCGCCATGACCCTGTTCATGGCCGACTGCGGCTGCTACCCCCACGACCGGGTGCTGGAGTCACAGCTCTGGAAAAAACTGGTTTATGCTGGAGGTAAGGACGGGGATGAGCCTCTCGGGATGGTGGTGCAGGGCAGGGAGAGCAGATGGCCAAGGATTGTCCCGCTCACAGGGGTGGTGGCTGTGCTGCTGGCACCGACGGCGGTGGCTGCGGTTTATTGCCTGGCCTGGGCCACGTCCTACATCGTCTTCCCCTTCGCCCTCTGGAGCTGCAAGGCCTGAGCCCTCCCTCGAGCCTAGTAAAGCCCTCCTCATCCTCATCCTCATCCTTGTCCTCCTCGTCCTTGCTTCGGGTGCTGCTTCCTCCCTTCGCGCTTCCCACCTGAATCTGGGTAGCAGAAGGAGCTGCTAAGGTAAAAACAGAGCAAGGCTCAGCTGCAGGGAAGCCCTAAAATCCCTGACCTTTGTGGGGATTGAGGGAAACCCAAAATCCCAATCCTTTGTGGGGATCGAGGGAAACCCAAAATCCCAATCCTTTGTGGGGATCCAGGGAAACCCCAAAATCCCAATCCTTTGTGGAAATAGAGGGAAACCCCAAAATCCCTGTCCTTTGTGGGGATTGATGGAAGCCCCAAAATCCCAATCCTTTGTGGGGATCAAGGGAAACCCCAAAATCCCAATCCTTTGTGGGACTGAGGGAAGGCCCAAAATCCCAATCCTTTGTGGGGATCGAGGGAACCCCCATCCCCCCAACAGCAGAAACCTCCAAATCTTTGGGAAACAGGAAATTTAGGGTTTCTAAAACCTAAATTTCCCCCAAGCCCTTCTCTGCACAGGAACCTGAAGTTTAGGGATCTCTCACACTGCCCAGTGGGAATTCATTACAAAGGGAGGTTCACACTCCAAAAATAAGGAGGGCCCTCCCTGGCTGGGAGAAGGAAGATGCTGATCAAACTTCCAGAGGGTTTCCAACACGGGATTCTCTGGGAGCAGTTTGGAATTCACCACTTAACCCTGCACAGGGAAACACCATCCCAAACGTGGTTTATTTTCACCCCCACAGTGTGACACCGCTGGGGCAGGGAAAGGGGGGAAGCAGGACTTGATCCAAAGTCTCTGGAGAGCCGGAGGCTGCCGGACAGCAGCGGCTGGAGCAGAGGGTGTGGGTGGAGGAAGGAAGCGAAGGTCAAACCTGGTGCTGCAGAAACGCTCGGGATCCCCGGGGAGGCTCTGCCGGCAGCAGCAGCTGCGGGATGTGGCTCCTGCTGCGTCCCCCCGGGATAAACCCGGGCTCCGGGAGGGCAGGACCCTGCCCTGAAGCAGGGAACGGCTCCTGCTGCGTCCCCCCGGGACAAACCCGGGCTCCGGGAGGGCAGGACCCTTCCCTGAAGCAGGGAACGGAGGGGTGGGGCCGTGGCTAGAGCCGGTACCGGCGCTGCAGCTGCTCTGGCCTCAGGCCATTCGCACGCGGAGCAAGCAGGAGCCGGGAGACAGAGAACCAGCAGAGATTTTATTGATACAAAAAGGGCGATTTGATAATAAATACCGGGGCATTAGAAAAGGAGGGGTAGGGCAGAGGCCGGGCTGTGTGTCATTCCCCGGATCCCTGCATCTGCTTGCAGAAGGAGTCGAACTGCTGCTGCTCCAGCTCCGTCATCACCCGGTTCAGGGCGTAGATCTGGGGTTGGGAAAGGGCGGATGGCAAAGGGGGCTCGGCCGCGGGTTGGGCCGGGTCCCTCCCCATTCCCGCGCTCCCACCTCCGCCCGCTGCCGCTGCTTCAGCTCCTGCTGTGCCGACCTCTGCTTGGCCTTCTCCAGGCGAGCCGCTGGCTCCCGCGGCTTCGGCCGCTCCTTCCGCGCCCCCGCGCCCGGATCCATGGCTGCGACCCGGGCTGGGGTCAGCCGGGGGTCCCGGAGCCACCCACAGGAACCCCGTGCCCGCGACACGCCCAGACAGCCGAGGCTCACATGGGGTGCCCCATTGGCATCCTCACAGGGCACTGCCCCACATCCACCCTGGGGGCCCGGGGTGATCCCCAAATCATTCTGAGCCTTACAGGAGACCCCCAAACTTATTCTGATCCCCAAATGCATTCTACGCCTCGCAGGAGAGCCTCAAGCCCACCCGGAGCCTCACAGGAGACATTCCCCCCCATCCTGAGCCTCTCGGGTGCCTCACACCCACCCCACAGTTAGGCTGAGCCCCACAGGGGCCCCCCAAGGCTTCTCCCCGTCACCCCCCATTCCCCTCAGCGGCCCCATCTCCTCACACTTCGCCCCCCAACACCCAGAGCACCCCCAAGCTCACAGACACCCCTATCCCAAACCCCTCTCCACCCTCACAGCCCCCTGCACCTCAACGTCCACAGAGAGCACTGAAGCCCCCCAGGCCCCTCCCAACCCTCTCCATCTCCCCGGCCCCTCATAAATCACAACCCGCCCGAAGCCCCCCACCCTCAGTGCCCCACAGCCCCCCCCCAAACCCACAGACACCCCAGTCCCACAGCGCCCAACAAGCTCCTTCCCAGGCCCACCGGGACGCCTCAGCCCCCTGAGTCCCTCAGCCAAGGCCCCGGTGTCCCCTCGCTGCCGCAGCAGAGCCCCTCAGGCCCCTCACTCCCCCAGCCCCCCGGTGCCCCCTCAGGCCCCTCGCTCCCCCGGTGCCCCCCGCGTTCCCCGGTACCGGAGGGGCTGTGCCCGGGGCAAGATGGCAGCGCACCCCTTCCGCCTTTCGGCGCTCGATTGTCCGCCCTGGGCGCACGCGCGGAGCGCACGGGCCGGGTTCCACAGCGCCGCCTGGCGGGCGGGGAAGGGGACTGCTCCCAGTGTGCCCCAGTGCCCCGCTGTCCTTTACTGGTGTGTGACACCCCCTAAACACCCCCCCAGTGCTCCTTTACTGGTGTGTGACACCCCCTAAACACCCCCCCAGTGCTCCTTTACTGGTGGGTGACACCCCCCCAGTGCCCCACTGTCCTTTACTGGTGTGTGACACCCCCCAAACACCCTCCCAGTGCTCCTTTACTGGTGTGTGACACACCCCCCAGTGCCCCACTGTCCTTTACTGGTGTGTGACACCCCCCAAACACCCTCCCAGTGCTCCTTTACTGGTGTGTGACACACCCCCCAGTGCCCCACTGTCCTTTACTGGTGTGTGACACCCCCTACACATCCCTCCCACCCTTACACATCACCCCCTACCCCGCATTCCTATTAACAGCCCAGCCCTATCCATCACCATACCTCCATATACAGATCATCCCCTGTACAGCCATACATCTCCCCTATTGCACCACAGTCCTGGCACAGCCCAGGCCCTAAAGATCAGCCCCTTCTATCACCCTACTGTACATCCCACCCTGATTGACCACTGCCCCACACAGCTCCCTCCATATACCACACCCCCATGGAGCCACCTCCATATACGCCAGCCCCACACAGCCCAGCCCCTACACACAACCCCATAGACCATATCCCTATAGAGCCCACCCCACACATCACAGAGCACCCCCTCTGTACCACACCCAACCACAGCACCCCCTTTGTGCAGCCCACTCCCCACAGATCAGCCCCTCTGTACAGCCCACCCTACACAGCCCAGCTCTCACACACCCCCTGTACATTCCCATACACACAGAGCCCTGCCAGGGCTGGCACAGCCTGGCCCAGCACAGCACGCATGGCATGGCATGGCACAGCATGGCACAGCAGGGTACGGGGCTGTACATGTGGCACATGTGTCACAGTACATGTCCCACAGCATGGTGACCCCCGACACATGGGCATGACACCCCTGATGGTGACAGACCCCTGCTAGGGCACAGCCCACCATGGCACAGTGCCACAGTGCCCCCAGCACAGTGTGGCACCCCTGCTATGGCACAGCCCACCGTGGCACAGTGCCATAGAGCAGGGCACAGTGCCCCAGCAGCATGGCACCCCCAGCACGGTGACACACCCCTGCCATAGCACAGTGCCACAATGCCCCCAGCACAGTGTGGCACCCCCAGCATGGTGACACACCCCTGCCATAACACAGTGCCATAGAGCAGGGCACACTGCCCCAGCAACATGGCACCCCCAGCACAGTGACACACCCCTGCCATGTCACCCTACGGTGTCCCCAGCAGTGTGGCACCCCCAGCACAGTGACAGACCCCTGCCATGGCACAGCCCACCATGGCACAGTGCCACAATGCTCCCAGCACAGCGTGGCACCCCTGGCACGGTGACACACCCCTGCCATGTCACCCTACGGTGTCCCCAGCCCAGCCCCCCCACCCTGGGGCTCTCCACCACCCAGCCCCTTCTCTCCAAATCCTTTATTGCCGTATCCCAGCCCCCCGCACTGGGATTCCCTGGAAGCACAGGACCGAGAGCAGCAGGCACAATGCCAGATCCTGCCCAGCACCGGGACCAGTTCCTGGGGTGGGGAAACACCCGCCAGGGCCGGGGGACACCCCAAAAACCCCCCTAGATACGGACGGTGTTGATCCGCAGCGGCTGCACGTTCTTCCCGTTGGCGTGGCTCTGGCCAGGACTGAAATAGGAGCAGAGCTTCCCGGGAAACCTCTCCCGGAAGGTGTAGAGCCAGGACATGTCGTCGGCGTTGTAGAAGATGAGCAGCCCCTTGTCGTAGTCCAGGAAGACGCCCACCTTCTCCAGCTTGCCCTTGACGTTGAGCCGCGTCCAGGGCTCGGTGCAGGCGCTGTACTGGTTCCCGTCGTGCATCACGATGCAGTAGAAGCCACGGCTCGGCTGGATCTGGATGCTGCCCTTGCGGGTCACGGCCTCGTGGGCCAGGCCGATCATCCACTGGGTTTTTTCGGACACCACCACCTCCCAGTAGTGCACGCCAGCCCCGAAGGCCTCGGCGCCCAGCACCGACACCTCGACATCGAAGCGGCGCGGCGAGTCCTGCAGCGGCTGCGGGTGCAGGTTGCCGTAGGCCACGATGGTGCAGTCGTCCGACAGGATGAGGCGGTGATGGGCAGTGCCAGGGTCCAGGGTCAGCGCTGCTGGCACTGCCACAGCAGGGACAGGGGGGGAACGAGGGTTAGTGCAGCCCTGGAGCCAGCCCAGGTGCTCTGTGCCACCGGGGTGACGACCGGCATGGGGAGGTCACCAGGGTGGCCTTGGCCCCATCCCTCACTGGGGTGTCCTGGCCTCATGCTCATCCCTGTCCCTCGTTGGTGTGTCCCTGCTCATCACTGATGTCCCAGACCCTTTGGAGCAATGTCCCCATCCCATGCCAGTGACATCCCGTTCCCTCCCAGGTGATGTCCCCTTCCCCATCTCTCACTGGGGTGTTCTGTCCTCATGCTCATCCCTTATCAGTGATGTCCCCTGTCCCCCACTGGTGTGTCCCTGTTCTTTATCACTGATGTCCCAGACCCTTGGCAGCAATGATGCAAGGGCTGCACTAACCCTCATCCCCAGCCCCTGTCAGTGACATCCCGTTCCTCCCAGGTGATGTCCCCTTCCCCATCTCTCACTGGGGTGTCCTGTCCTCATGCTCATCCCTTGTCAGTGATGTCCCTCACTGGTGTGTCCCAGCTCTTCATCACTGTCCCCTTCCCCATCCTTCACTGGGGTGTCCTGTCCTCATGCTCAACCCCTGTCACAGAATCACAGAATGATGAGGTTGGAAGAAACCTCTAAGACCATTGAGTCCAACCTATGCCCTAACACCTCAACCAGGCTATAGCACCAAGTGCCATGTCCAGGCTTTTTTTAAACACATCCAGAGATGGTGATTCTGCCACCTCCCTGGGAAGAGCATTCCAGTACTTTATTATTCTTTTGGTGAAAAATTTCTTCCTAATATCCAACCTGTACCTTCCCTGACGTAGCTTGAGACTGTGTCCTCTGGTTCTGTCAGTGCTGCCTGGTGGAAGAGACCAACCCCACCTGTCTGCAACCTCCCTTCAGGAATGGACTGAAAGAATCCTAAAAGAACTACCCAAAGAGCTTTCCAAAGAACCCTAGAAGAACCTCCCCAAAAAAACCTAAACCTCCCTTCAGGAAGTTGTAGAGAGCAATAAGGTCACCTCTAAGCCTCTTCTTCTCCAGGCTAAACAGCCCCAGCTCCACAGTGGAATTCCCTGTCCCTCACTGGTGTGTCCCTGCTCCTCACCACTGATGTCCCAGACCCCTGGCAGCAATGTCCCCATCCCCTGTCAGTGACATATGATGTGTCCCCTTCTCCATCCCTCACTGGCGTGTTCCTGTCCCCAGTGACCTTCCCCATCCCTTGCTACTCCCCATCCCTGCACCCTCACCAGGATGGATGTCCTGGAAGAGGGATTTCCAGATGGTGTACTGCAGTGGGCCCATGTACTTGGAGGTGGGAAAGTCCTCATAGGTCAGGTTGGTCTCATGGATCTTCCCCTTCAGCCTGTGGAGAAGAACATGGTGTGGTGTGATGTCATAGCTTGCCTCAGTTTCCCAGTCCTTCCCCAGGTGTGCCAATCACCTCTCCTTTCCCCCTCCCTTGCTCCCTGCTGAGTGCTGTCTGTCAATCCTGGCATTCCAGAAAGGATTGGCAGAGTTCAAAAGATGCCTTTCAGCCCTGGGGGACATTGGGCCAGCCAGGGGTCATTTGTCCCCTGAGACTCCTCCCCTTACCTGGTTGGTGGGATCCCTACCCCTTCCCTCCCCCTCTCCCTGGGGTTAAAAGGAACAGCAACAACTGAATTTGGGAGGTTCTGTTGGAGCTGTTGCTGGATTCAGAGGGCCAAGAATAAAGCTCTGGATCTAAACCCTCCAGCAGAACCGACTCCTTTCCTTCACCATTGCCTTAAAGCTTCTCCACCAGAGGTAAACCTGAGCTCCTGCACGCCTGGACTTGTCCCAAGCACCCAGCTGAAATATCCAGCTTAGCCAAAGGTGTCTCTGAGGTGAAACCACCACAGCTGCCGCCTTTGGTCAAGCAGCAAGGGCCAGACGAGCCCAGGCACGTTCCTTCCGGCTCTACTGGCATTTAATTCCAATATACTGGCAGAGTGATTGGCAGAGTTCAAAAGATGCCTTTCAGCCCTGGGGGACATTGGGCCAGCCAGGTGTCATTTGTCCCCTGAGACTCCCCCACCCTTACCTGGCTAGTGGGATCTCTACCCCTTCCCTGCCCCTCTC